CCCCACCCCAGGCAACCCCGCTCACCAGCTCGAACCGGTTGTTGACTCGGACGCCCTCCTTCCCTGTGCCCCGGGAGCGCTGGCCACCTGGCCCCCGCTTTGGTCCTTCTTCCGCATCATCGTCATCACGGAAGCCAAATGGCAGGGCGCCGGGCCCGAGGGGCTCTTGTCCGCGCTGTTCCCCCCTCAGCCTCCGGAGGGCTCGGCGTGACATAGGACCCAACGGCCGCTGCCTTCAGGGGCCCGGGAGAAGACCGGCCGGAAAGAGGGTGCCGCGCGCCTGCGCACTTGAGGCGCGCTGGCGCGGGCTGGCGTGTCCCGTCCGCGCGCCCAGCGCTCCGGAACTTCCGCTCTACGCAGGGGCGGGCCTGCCTGGACGTGTTCTCGCGCGAGTTGCGTGCCCCCGCGACGAGTGTTCACGACAGCTGTGGGGCTGGGACGGGGGCGGGGCGCGCGGGCTCCGAGCCTCCTGCGCCCGGGACCTAGACCCTGTTTTGCAGAGCGACACGCGGGTGGGGCCAGGTGAGGAGGCGGTGCGCAGGCGACGGCTGGGAGGAGGGGCGTGGAGGGCCCTGGTCCCCGCTCCGCTCGCCCTGCCGCCTGGGGTTCCTCAGCCGGGCTCCAAGGCTGCCGGCGGCACAGCCCCTCGCTAGCGTGTCCAAACCCAAGAGCTCCCCAAAGCTGCGGATTTCCGGACAATCCCAAGCCGGATAGACTGAATCCGAATCCATCCTGGCTGGTGGTTTTTTGCTTCTGGTGCGCCCGAAGTGGTTCCCTGTGTCTCAGTGTGGAAAACGGCGATCAGAGTTGGAGGCTCGCGTCATAACCTCCTGGGAGGCTTTACAATAAAAATGAAGGACCCAGCCCAAGAAATTCCGAGGTGATGCTTTGATATTTGAAAAAGCTCTTTGGGGAATTAAAGAAGAGAATCCCCGCACTGCCATCCAAGTGCAAGAGCAAGGAGACCTGGTGTGGGGTGACAGAAGAGATGGCAGGCTTGAGCTTGGGGATGGCTGTCTGTGGAGCCAGGCCCAGTGCCAAACTAAATTCTCACCTCATCCTGCCAGGTAGGGATCCCCTTTTACAGGTAAAGAAAGTGGGTCAGAGAATAACTGGCTCAGGTAGAATGTGGATTTGCATTTGTGTTTGTGGTTCCAGAGTTCATTTGAGGAAGGCCACTGGCAGCAACAGAGAAGGGGAAGCAGGACACAGTGTGTGTGTGTGCTTGTGGGTGTGTGTACACGCGTGGACGTGCACGCACCTGTCTGGTCTGTCAGCCTGTACTGGTCACTTGGATCTTGAAATACTTCACACAGGCTGGCACACAGCTGCTGCCTCAAGCTCCCCACAGTTCCACCTGCTCCAGCCACTCCCCCAGAGTCCCCTGGAAACCCCCCTGCCTGCATTACAGCTACTAAAGGGTTATGCTCAGCACAGGTGGGACCTCTAGGATGCCACCCTCCTGTCCATTCTGATTGTTAGGGCCAGGCTAGTTGGTAAATAGATTCTGTGTCACTCTTGGTTAAATGGTGTGACCGATTTATGCAGGCTTATTGCCTCACCTGTGGATGGAAACAGGAGTTTCAACCTGGAGCCGCTTCTGCTTTGTCCACAAGACAGCTGTGAGAGGCAACATCCAACCCAATTTGAATGGCACCTTCCCTGAACAGGCAACTTCAACAGGAGTCTCTCCCTGTACCACCAGAAGTTTGGTTGGTTGTAAACAGTTTTAGAGGAAGTGACCTTTGTCAGGATCTAAGTTAGGTGAGGGGAGGCAGGGCTTGGCTCAGTGGGTACTGCACAGCCACTGTATCTGTGGTCCTCAGGAGGCAGGCCCAGCAGTCCTGGGGACAGCAGCAAGCTCCAGTAACACTCCTCTCAGCTCAGCCTAGCTGTCCAGGATGGGTTTTTGTTATTTTTTGTATGGCTTTCAATTTCCAAGGCTTCCAGTGTGGATCAGAACCCAGGTGTCCCCTTATTGGGCACATTTCCTCACCTGCGGAATTAGAGTGAAGACAATGGTGCTTGCCTCCCAGGAGCATCTGCTCTTGGAGGTGCTGCACAAATGTTGCCTTTCTCATTGCTGGCCGTGTGTCTGGGAGCAACTTCTATCCTCTCTATCCTGTTTTCTCATTTTTATTTATTTTCGTTAATCCTTAACCAAAGATATTTTTTCCATTAAAAAAATTTTTTAAAAATATATCTTTTTATTGATTTCAGAGAGAGGAAAGGAGAGGGAGAGAGAGATAGAAACATCAATGGTGAGAGTCATTGATCAGCTCCCTCCTGCATACCACCTGCTGGGGATCGAGCCCACAACCCAGGCATGTGCTCTGACTGGGAATCAAACCGTGATCTCCTGGATCCTAGGTTGATGCTCAACCGCTGAGCCACGCCCGGCCAGGACCTATTTTCTTTAAATTATTTTTTTAATATATCTTCATTGGTTTGAGAGAGGACGAGAAAGAGATAGAAACATCAATGATGTGAGAATTGTCATTGATCGGCTGCCTCCTGCACACCTCCTCCTGGGGATTGAGCCCACGACCCGGACATGTCCTCTGACCTGGAATCGAACCAGAATCTCCTGGATCCTAGTTTGATGTTCAACTGCCGAGCCATGCCTGGCCAGGACCTGTCTTATTTTTAAATAGTAATAACACTGCTCCCTACTTGTGAAGCACTCAGAACAAGGGCTAGGAGCTGGCTCCTGTTACTGGCTGCTTTAATTTCGTGTAACTGAATGTCCTGGACCTCAGCTGGTGAAATATCTTCTCCCACAAGCCCATCTGTTACAAGTCACGTGTCCTGGGCCTCCTCCGGGCCCATGTCCGTGGGGCAAGCATTAGAGCCTGGTGCCCAGCAGACCTGCATTGGCATCCAGGAAAGCTGAGTATATCTTTACCCAGATTCCTTTGACACTCCTGAGTTCCAGTTTCCTCATTCGCAGGCAGGGATGACGACAGAAGCCACCTCCCAGGCACATAGGGGCAGACAGTGCACACAGGTGCTCCAGCCACTGCCCTAACAAGTAGGGTGGAGGTGCTCCCACCCCGAGGACCCCACAGGACCTGGGAGATGAGGACAAGGGTCCCCCAGGTGACTGGTGGCAGCAGCAGGCCAAGCTGCTCTCCCATGCAGGACCAGGGTGCCAGGCTATGAGGCGGGGCGTAGAGAATGGGCGTGGGCCTGAGAGCCTCATCTCAGGAGGGCATCCTGACTGCTTGGGGCAGTGGCCCCTCAGCCCAGCTTCCACCCTTGGAGAACATGCCTGCTGCTGTGACTGGAGAGTCCTTAGCTCATGCCCTAGACGGGAGACTGACCACCTTTATGTGGCCATGAATACCCGTTTACGAGGCTCCTCCCTGCAGAGAGACCGAAAGCACTACAGGGGCCTGGTGTCAGATAGGGAGTGGGCTTCACCTCAGACCTCCCATGGGGATGGCCCTGTGACACATGCCTGGGAGAGATCTCAGCCCGCTCGATTTTCAGGTGACTCCGCATCCCATATCCCTGTTACGGGAGCACAGATGCAAATAGGGTGTTCCAGTCCTCCTGGGCACCAAGGCACCCTTCCACGCCCGGACCTGCCCAGAGGGTGGAGAACAGATGCGGGGCAGGGTCTTCCCCAGGGCCCCACCACCCCTGCCCTTCCTCCAGCCTGCCCCTTTCTATCTTGTGCCATCCCCCTCACCCAAGGAGTCCTGAGAGGAAACAGCCTCCCCAGGGAGGGTCCTGGAAATAAGCCTGACCCCAAATGGACTCTGGGGCTAGGAAACATATATAAACATATAGGCTGTGTATATGTTATATAAATGCATTTCTATATATATGTACATGCACACTCAGGAGGCAGCTGGCAGCTGTGTTCCAGGATGGGGAGCTCCCAGCCTGGTCGAGAACTGGTCCAGCTCCTCCCCAGAGGCCTGGCCACTTTAGGCCACCGTGAAAGGCCTCTAGCCAGGTGGCCTAGGGTAGCAAGGGCTGTCACTTGAAGTCGAGAGTCCAGGTGTTAGGGATGTAGAGGGACTGGGTCTGGCGGGCACGGCGAGGGGTGGTGTTGAGGGCATCCACACTCTTGCGGCTGGAGCGTACCACGTCGGCCACGAAGCTGGTGCAGTCGCTGCAGATGTCCTTCAGGACACAGCCATGGGTGTACATGTGTGGGAACTCCTCCTCCACACTCTGCCACTGGGGCCCCTGCAGGGACCTGGGGTGGGACAGGGCCATCAGGGAGGCCTCCCGCCCATTTCTCCATGTCCATGCTCCCACCCCCTGCATCAGGCATGCAAGGTTTTTGGCATGAACATGCTGAACAAAGTGCATCCTGGCAAAAGCTCTTCCTTTAGAGGGACCTGAGTCCTGGGCCCTCACCACCCAGCATGGTTTCCATCTCATGCTACTCAGCCCCCCCATATCTGTGTCTTGTTTCCTTGGGGTGTCCTAGCAAACAACACACCCCACCCCAACTCCTGCGTTACCGCAGTGCCTGACCACACAGTGCCAGCAGAGCAAAGGGACGCACTGGAAGACCTCTCTCCTCTGTGTCGCATTGGGTTTGGCAGTTGCGGCCCCCTGAGGACTCTCGAAGCCCAGTGTGTAGACAGGGATGTGAGCAAACTTCTTAGAAGGCATCTTCACCTGCAAATGGGAGGCAGTGGGTGGACAGTGCTCCCCTAGGGACGGCCCAGGCATACGCCCATGCTGCTTTCAACACCCTACCCCGCCATGCCTGTATCTGAAGACACATGCCTCCTTCCACACACGCCCAGCCACAGCTGCTCACATAGGCAGACCAGGCACTGGTTTTACACCGTGCAGGGTCTAGCACCATGCCCTGTAGGCAGCAAATACCTAACGTGGTTAAGATGGAAGTCTTTGCACAGCCAAGTGGCAGGATATAAAGTCAGGGTCTGGAAATAGTGGTGATGAAAATCCCTCTTAGGCAGATTCTTGTTTCTGGGCTGAGATGTACCGAGATGACACACTTATACATGTCATTACCCATTTACCTCAATGCACATGTGTGTATGCAGACACCTGAACTGCTATAAAGAGCCTCCAAAAACACTCAAGGAAGTTGTAAGGTCAGAAGCTAGGACTTTTGAGGGGAAGTGAAGGGTTTCTTGGCACCATCCTACTAACATGGAATGTTGTTAAAAAAAAAAAAAAAAAAAA